CCTTGACGTGGCTGTCGCTGTCAGTTTGTTCCCGGAAATAGGTTTTGTTTTTCTCAGAAACTATTTTTCAGGGTTTTTAAAAGCCTTCGTTAAAACACCCGGCGTAATCATAAAACATTTCCCCGGGGGTAGCCCTATTTGAGCGTTCCGAAACGCATCTTACGTAATAAACATTGCGAAAACTCGTTAACGCCGAAATATCGCGATATTGACAGTTCTCATCTGGCCTAACCAGTCAGTTCATTTGTTTTGTTTACTTCTGTATATTTGTTCGATGGAACGCTACAACAACCAAGGGCATGTTCATTGCGTTGAGACGCTCGCCGCGAGTTCTTTGCAGTGATTCTCTGATAATCCACGAGGTAGCAATTAGGTCGCTGGAAGTCGCTGCTAATCAGTCGAGTGGAAGCATGTCGTGCTCCGCCGCATCGATCAAATTGACTGGAACCCAGGGGAGAGCCGCGTTGCTTAGAGCATGGCGATGCACGCGTTCAAGCTAAGTCTACCAACGTCGAGCGATGCCGCATTACGAAAGGGCTGGCGTTTCGTAACAGGTCGGGATGAATTTACGGTGATATGAAGATAAAACGTCTGGCGGAGTCGAAACATGAACATGTTAGAGCAGAAGCTGTTTTTGAAATGCTCGCCTCTGCTTTTAATGGACTCCCGGGGTGGAATAAGCGCCCGCTCTGTCCTGGAAAATTAACCTGAATATAAAAAAAGGTCTTAATTGTCTTAGCATCAATTTAGTTTGCTTGTTTAGACATGGCTCTCAACAATTATTTGTGCTGCATCTGATTAAATTATCTGCGTAGAGGGAGATGTAGTCCCGTTGTTGGCTACTGTAATTTACCTCTTCTTTTAAGACACCCTTTGGAAGGAATGTTTTCTTTTTAGTAACATTTTTAGGGCGCAGCTATTAGGCGCGCGTTTCCGGCGTAAGCGCCTTCGCCGTTGCCGTCGGCGTAACCGCTCGTTGCATTATGGGACCTCTTCCATAATGACGTCACACGTGACGTCACGTGTGACCTCACGAGGGTCACGAGTGACGTCACCTTCCTGACGTCACACGGCGTCTAAATTTGGCGGAAAAATTTTCCGCGCAATTTAGCAGAGAACTTTTCTCGCTAAATTTAGCTGAAAATGTTCCCACTAGATTTACCCGGGAAATTTTTCCGCCACAATTAGCGGAAATTTTTTTAGCCAAACTTAGTGGGAAAAATCAGCGCCAAATTTAGCAAGAACATTTACCTTTAAATTTAGCAGGAAAATTTTCCCGCTAAATGTCGCGGAAATATTGCCCACTAAAATTGGCGGAAACATTTTCTTTTTAAATTGGGGGGGGGGGGGGGGGAGGGGGGGGGGGAGGGGGGATTTTTTTGCTAAGTATGGCGGGAAAAGATCCCCGGTCGATTTTTTTAACATATTTAGCAGAAACATTTTCCCGCCAAACTAAGCGGGCAATTTGTTTTTACTAAATTTAGCGGGGAAAGTTTTTCTGACACATTTAGCGGGGAGAACTTATCTGGAAATCGTCCCAGAATTTCCCCCTGAATTCCCCCCGTACCCTTTCCTCCTCCTCCTCAAGAGCAGTGCTCTAATTCGACATTACAGAGAATCGTAAACGTCTTTCATTTTTTTAAGTTTTATTAGCCGTTGAACCCTGATTTGTTGCACGACCTGTAAGTATAAGTCATATAATATGTCTATCTTAAAATAAGTAACTCAAGGGTAGAACAAAGCTATTGGAAAAAATATATGAATGTAATTTTGAAGGATATTGTCATTTGATGCCGACGACTATGGTCATGAAACGTCTTCATATGTGTTGAATTTACGCACGCAAAAATTGCTCTCACCAAATCATTTGACCTCGAACAACGCTGGAGAAAGTGTTTATACATTATTGCTGCTAGCCTTTTCATGTCTTGTAGCTATAGAAAAATTTAAAAAAAAACATTATCTCCGTCAGCTACTCTTGACATTTCACGCCACGATATATCGTTATATTTAAGTAGGGTGGTGATTTGGGCCAGTTCATCTTGTCGTGATATTTGTTTTCGGTTCATAAACAACATTCTGTAAACACACAAATACATACCTGACGCTTGTTATTTTTTGGTTAACAAACTTTCAGCAAAACGCAACCATTTCTTGATGGATGTGGTATAAGGTATGGATTATGGTAGAAAATATGGTGTTGTGCATCTTTCAAACTATTGAATATAATAAATACACATTGTACACTTTTGTGAACTTGTTGATATTGAGCGCTTGCACGTGTGTATGACAGAAACGCATTTCATAGAGTCCAGAGCCAGTTTCATCTCCTGGATCGCTTTTTGGCGCCGAGTTCTTTTTTCTTTTTAATTCGCTACATTTGCGCTATATTCATATATTAGTTCACAGAGGCAAACATTGGGAAAGAGGGTGCAAACCGATAGGTGATATAACCAGTGCTTGACGTATCATAACCTAGGATAGCAGTAACGCAGCATGTAATAAATAAAGATCTGCCACGTAAATAGAAAATAAAACAAAGAGGGAGATTCCATCTTAAGCTCTTCACTTCCCCTTGATTACTCGGTTTATTTGTTGCCAAATAAACAAGGAAAATCTAATTCACACCGATGACTTAAAAATAAGTTTTTATCTTAACGTGATACTCCAGCCTGGATTACACGTCAATCGTCTCTTCCGCTATAATCTTCGATCAAATTGCAACCAGTTTGGCGCTTGTAGAATGCGTTTTAATACACAAACAATGTATTTCATTAGAAACAATTTAGAGTAGTAAAAAAAGTTGTCTAAAGTGTAAATATTAAGGTATTGCGCAAAATAGTCTAATGTATGAAGTATTTTTTTGTTTTTTTTTAGTTTTTGCAAGTGAATTGTACTCAAGACAATGCACACTCGCGGCTGTTTTTAACGAATTTAGATTGCTAGCTAAACTTTGTTGAACATTCATCGTCACGCGCAACTCAGGCCATAAGTGCAACAAAACAGCTTTGCGAAAGTGTCGACTTGAACGACCACTCGATCAGCAAACGCACAACCCAGAGCTATACCTTTGCGAGACTGTCTTAGAAAACTATAAGCGAAAAATATGAAGCACTGGGAAGTTCTTAGCAAACTTCAGACAGTTTCGCAGCACAGCCGCAAGCGATCACAGGAGACGTGCAGGATCGGGACTCCTTTTACAAAGACCGTGAGCTCCGGCCGAGGGCCGAATACAAAGCCTCTCACGAGGAGGCAGCGTATTCGCGACTCCAGCAAAACGGACGCCGCCAAGCGGGAAAACCGGGAACCAGCCGGTCCAGGTCGCTCCGCGCTTCTCCGCGTCTCCGGTGGCTTTCGCGGACACGTGTTGTCGGCGCGGTGGCGAACATTATAATTCAACAAAGGTCAGAAAATTTCTTAAGTTTGCCTGAGTGTTCATCAGTGTGGTGAAGCCTCAGATAGATTGCTTCTTTCCATCACGTGTTTGAAAGCCCGTTTACTCCACAACACATGGTCGCGTGCTTTCGATTTCTTGGATGGGGAGGAATCACGGAAAAATGTTTTGATTTCTTGTCTGTCTTGAATCACATTCAAAGTGACGACTACTTAGTAACTGATAAGTGGTTTCTTTATAAGGATGTAGAACAGTGGACTATAGACGACAGACGAGGTGTTTCACTGGAGGGAACACCAATGTTGCAGTCAAGTGAATGGGAAGGTTCGATACCTGCTTTTCTTGAGTTTGGTTGTGCTCGATTAGCTTCAAGTTTGAGCCACCCACGCCGGCCGATGCGTTGGCTATTCGTTTTGGCTGCTTTTCGCCGAAAAAGCCTCTGGACCACACTGAAGGAGTGGGACCAATTTCGCAATTACTTGATTCAGGAAAACCTGCTCGCTGCCAATGATTAATGAGGTAAATTATCTGTTTTCAAAAGGTGGGGGACGCGTCTCGCAAAGTTAGAAGCTTCCACGGCATTAGGATCTATCGCGCCTCCAATATTTACATTATACCCTCGTCGAAGCCAGCAGCAATATACGTCAACATTGCTCAGGTTGATCGGCCACAAAAAATACTCCTTTTATCCGTTCACGATTCGAAGTCAAGTTCAATGCAGAGAGGTTCTGAGTGAATCTCCGATGAAGACTCTCTTCGATTTGTCCACATTCGTCTCCGTGCTACCGGCTAGAACCATTTGGCTAAGTTTAAGCATAGTAATATACTTTTATTCAGCAGGTCACCTGATAGCTAGTCAACTAAGTTCATATTTCAGCCCGAAGAATATACTAATATCGCTTTAGTGGAACATAATACGTAATATAATACATAACTCGCTGGTCAAAATGACTTCTCGATTGCTACTAAAACCTGAATTTAAATACGAGTATCAGCTGCTTAGTGAAGCGCCAGCGGGTTAACATGCTCCTTGGCTCAAGAAGCGCTTGCTTAATTTTCGTAATTTTCCTGCAGCCTGTGTTGTTGACCGAGCAGACGACTTGAGCTGTTTCTTAAACGCGGATACGCACAAAAACTCGATTTCTTCGACAGATAAGTCGCATGGTCGAGGCATGCGAGTTAGCTAAAAATTACTCTCGGTGGAACAATTCTGTGGCCATTGCCGCTTTCCTTAGATGATCAAAATCAATTAGAGCCTATTACCGTTTCTCCGGAGCCCATAGTTTCGGTTTTGAACGAAGTCTCCGGAACGAAAGTTTGACATGAAAAGAACAAAAAAAAAAAAAAAACACCGGCAAAACAAAACTATGCTCGGCACGTTTATGCGCACCGGCTACATATAACCGTCTCAGTTCAAATGCCTATAAAATTGGGCATTGAACAAAAGAAAATTTGTTAAACTGAATGCGCCACCCGTTCAGGCGGCCCGGCCGAGCCGACGCGACCTGGACCCAGCCGCCATGTTTGTTTGGTGGTGGCGCCCCCTATAGGTCGCTGGAGTCGCGAATATATTCGTCGCAACCAGCAGGTTGGTTGTTCCACTTACTACGTCGATAATCTGCTGCAAGGTGAGACCGAAGCTGAGGATGAGCGGCTCGGACTCGTTGAAGACGGGGCGCTCGAGCGTGTTGTAGTTGGCCAGAAGATCGCCGAGGAGCCGGCGTTCGTGGGCACCTTGCTCCGTATCTATAAAACAAGAGAGAACAAACAGAGGGTCATACATATACATATCCAGAGTATGATGCAGATCAGCAAATTATAATCTAAACTGTAAAAAAAAGACGGGGTTTGAGTTTTTTTAGTGTTTCTATTTTATTTCCCCTTTGTCCAACAATCGTTATGGGGGAGTGGCTGACCCGTCGCACAATTTTTCAGTTATACTTGGTTCGACAAACGGGCGAGATGCTATCAGGGGAAATATATGGTGTCACTTCGTTTTTGCATTTATTACCTAAAACACGCTACGATAGGAGATCTCCACTTGTTTTCGTTAATTCTGGTATACCATTACTGTTTCTTATATATATCAATGATTTGCCATATTCCATTTCCTTTTTGCATTAGTTTATTCGCTGATTACTGTCTTATTTACGGAGAAGTTCCTAACACTTTGGATACTCAGAATTTACACGAAGATATTAACGCATTCTCTAACTTGTGTGATTAGTAAGGGATAAAACTTAACACGACTAAATGCAAAGCCATACGAGTATATGGTGTCAATCTAATATTCCTCCATCTTATTTTCTTCAAAACATCACCTTACCTTCCGTGTCTAGATAAAAATACTTTGGTGTTCATATATCTCCAGATATCTCCTGGTAGCTACATGTTGATAACACAGCACGATAACCGCATGCTGTGTTATTTTAAACGAAATTTATTTTTGCTCCTTTTTCTCTGGAAGTAACTCTGTATAAAACACTTGTTCGCAATAAATTACAATATGCTTCTGCTATCTGGAAGCGTGGTCATTACAAACTAAATAATAATCTAGAATAAGCATAAAAGTGTTCCGCTTGTTTTATTCTTAACAAATATCATCAAACCACCAATATAAGCTCAATGAATGCCACCCTATTATGGCCTAATCTTGCTTTACGCCGTAAAAATAGCTCGCTTGTGTTTCTTTCATAACATATGCCATACTAATCTATTACTTCAAGATCGATTGCTGAAACATCCCGTTTTATATTTCTTCACGGTTGGATCATATATATTACGTAGGCATTCCAAAATAAAACACTAAAAGATTTCAAGGGTCGCTTCTCCCAATAAGTTCTGTGGACTAAAACCATTTTCCCACACCGATAGCCACAATTGCCATTTGTCATCTATTTTAAACTGCCGTAAATATTATAAACCGTTCCGACTGATTATCAAAGTGTACTGACCCCCTACTCCGTTCTGTAATGTCGAAGGCCCTGAGAGTATTTGAAATAAAATATAAATAAGTTATATATATATATATATATATATATATATATATATCTTTACAAAAGGGAAACGACTCAAGCAACATAAAAAGGTTTGCTTTAAAGGGTCATGGCGGTATATTTTCTCAATTTTAGGACTAAGACTCTTTTCAGTGAAGTAGGTGCCCCAGAATTACGAGTTGCCTAATTTTGTTTTATGTCTTGTGTAGTTTTGTAGACATCTTATCTCAAAGTTTTGTTTTGAGCGTCTACGGCGAAACCGAAACTTTCGCCTCGAGCATGATGGTAGCCCTTGTGATCAGCTGTATGACCATCGCGTGATGTAAAGCTGGTACCGTGGTACAGTAAAACGTACGACTGGCTTAGTCGGAAGAGCAGTTCCGATCAGTCAGGTAATATGCTATTATTGTTTTACTGGTTTGCTTCGTATATGTTAACGTCTGTAACAAGTAATACACGTTCCTAAAGTTGCCGGCTAATGCGAGTTCAATGAACGCAGGCTCAGCGCAGGGGCAGAACAAGCCCCACTTATCCCCTGAAAAGAACTACGATATTTGTGGTGTGCCATGCACGTTTCAAAAGCGTTGTCGAAAATAATCGCAAGCTCCCGCAGTAGGAAGGGACTATACCTTGTCTCATCCTACGATGGACTAAAGGCCAAAGCCACGGGCTGCCAGGTCCAATCACGTTCCACTCTGTACTATGACGCGCTTAACATTGATTAGGGGTGGACGAAAAATGCTCGAATCCGAAAACGCCGCATCAGTTCTATAGCTTCCACACTGCAAAGAGCCAATATATCGTGGCTTTCTTTGCGATGTAAAATTGTTGAGTCACTCAGTGCTCTTTCATTTGACCCAGTCCACCCGTCCTCTTAACAGTGATCCGAGGCGCGGGCACCGATACGTGCATCAAAACGAATTACCGCACAATTTCTAAGTGGCTCGTGATTGAATCTGGCGGTCCGTAGCTTTTGCCTTTAGTCCATCGTAGGGTGAGACGAAGTATAAACTATGGCCGCCAGTGGATGCCACCTTTGGCACCATGAAGCTTGAGCGAGCGGGGAGTTAATAATCTTTGTTCGCGATCGCTGAGGAGCACTTACAAACGGCGGTCCAGAAATCCGGGGTAATACTGCTTATGCATCATCCGAAGACAGTCTGTATACAGATTCGAACGCGAGTCACTGAGAGATCGGTGCTTCGAATGCCGCATGGCAATGATTTCAAGAAGAAAACTTGGCACGCGGCATTAGATCCGGGGATATTGCGGTGACTCGTGTTTGCAGACTGTTTTCTTCTAATATGCAGGAGCAGTGTGACCCCGACTTACGGCATAACATAACAAGCAGAAATCGTCTGATGGGACGGCTGAAAACGCAGCAGAAATACACGGCGAAAGAAATGGCAGTACAAACACATAACCTCCTTCATTAGGATCATGACATCGGGGCACAAGGTTGCTTGAAAAAAAGCGAACCCGCTGAATGTCCGCTGACAAGCTAGCACTATCATTTTTAATATCGGTTTTAGAGTGGGTCGCGGCTTCCGATTAGCGTAGTATTTTGGCAGTGCTCTTATTTAAATTCTGTAAATCGATATTCTTCGTTCAGTTTAGTTCGACTTTTGATGAAGGTGAGTCTTTGAAGAGAAGCCGAAAATGTTAATGAAGAAAACGAGTTAGAGGTGAATGCTAGAGTAGTTTTGTCCCGTGAATATGAATATCACATTCGTTTTAACCGAAGATGTACCTAAATACGAGATAACACAAAAACCGTCTCACCAATCCTGGATATTTTGGCCGTCAAGCCCGTGTCGTTTGGGTGGACAACACGTGGAATATACCTTTTGCCGAATTACCTTCAAAAAGAATGTCGGAAACGTAGGTACACGCGCTGCGCACGCTGGCATCTTTACCTCTAACTGTTGGAAATCAAAAATCTAAAACAACTGGCACTTCGCACGCGTGTTCCACGGACGCTTAATTTTGGTAATTTAATTGTTTTTTTTTTTGTTTTTTTTTTTGTATAGGGTAGGAGAGCAGTGCAGCGCGTGTACCTACGTTCCGAACATTCTCTTGGATGCTTGGGTAATTTAGCAAATGTAAAGCTTGTCAGGTATATTCCACACACAAACACCTGTCGTGACATCTTTTTTTACCTTTTTGAAAATAGCAGGAGTGTGCATGCATAGCTTTAATATGCACTGAAGATACGTCAAAGCGGAGATTTTGAAAACTCCTTTTGTGGCGTAACGCTCCTGGAACATGGGGCTTCAGTGGTACATTAAAAAATGATTTTCTGAAACTTCCGGGCTCAATATTGAAAAAAAGAAATGTCAATATTCGTAATCCTGGAGGCCAAATGAATTCCATTTAATTGTTTTTACTCAAATAGAAAACCGCTCCAGTTTCCCTTTTGGTACGAGTGAAGAAAGTGTTGTAACTGGCTACAATAGGTATGGAGAGAAACAAATCCAGATGCTTAAAGCGTGTTCGTAAGATTTTATACATCAAATCAAACCTCAACAGCATTTTCCGAAGTCGCTTGAGAACTTTGGGTATTGCACATATGCAAACAACGAAACGATGAAAATGTTCCTTTTGAACGCCATCGTCGCCGTTTATTTTTTGTTCTTTTTCTTCGGTTTCTGCTTTTTTGGTCATTGAGAGACATTTTCTATTTACACGCTGATGCAATACAAAACTTTCAAATGTAAGGTTACAAACCTTGTGTAAGATAACAGTGACGCGAGACAATGACAATTTGTTTTAATACTGATTCATTTATGAAACAAGTCGCTAAGCTTATAAAACAACTATGTCTTATTACAACGTGCTTTCTAATATTGTAATTTTCAATCTATAACTTAGTACGAGATATGTTTATTTCGGTCGTCGGAAAATAAATAAACTCAACTGAAACTGTGTCGCGCGATGCACGTATCAAAATTACTATCGCTGGTGCTTCCTTGTTGTTCTTGCCATCAATAATGAACACAAGTGACCACAAAATTGTCCGTCTGAGTGATTTGCGATCAACTAAAGCGATGTGTACATTAGCGTGAGTCAAACCATGAAATTATGCTAATGCGTGTTTGAAAAATGTGTCTTGCGTATATCCCTAATCAACCACCACTAGAGCAAAGTGAATAACATCAAATGTCTCATCCTCCAAGCACACATACACACACACACACCACATAAATAAAAATATAAAACAAGGGCGTGTCGGACGACCGAATAATTCTAGCATACAGTAATGATTACCCCTCACGCTTGCGAGCACTCGGTGGTCTCAGGTACCTGCGTCTGTTCCGCGACTTGAGCAACAAGCCTACATACAAGCTCGCATACTATCCGTGAACAAGACACAAAAGCACGGCTTTATGTCCCTGAGCCTCACGTAGACACGCTTCTTTTTTTACCTCCCCAACGTGCTGGCCGTTGCCAGCCTCTCCAAGCAGCGCGGCCTCCGCCAGAGTTGTTCCGCACGACCGCTCAGTTGCCCCGGAGAATCTTACCTTCTCTCCGTTGGACGCCGCCTGACCTATACACCGATTTTATTCCCCCGGTTCACGAAATACACATCCTACAACCCCGAACATCCCATTCTCCCGTTTTTCTTGTCTTTCCCTTTCCTCCTCGTTTTTATTTACTCAATATTATTATTATCCGCTCGTTGTCTGACCTCCGCCACGCCCCAATCCTTTGCGCTAGTAAGTTTTCCAAAGCTTCTCGGGCATTTGCTGACACGCTTCATCATGCCGGGCAGATTTGCTTCTTTTCCTCCTCA